CTTTATTGAATAAAAGTAGTGGCAATGAACATTTTTTACTTGTTCTCAATCTTAGGGAGAAAAGATTCAGTCTTTCATCACTAACTAAGTATAATGTTAGCTGTAGGTTTTTTGTAGATGCTATTTATCATGTTGAGGAATTTCTTCCTTATTCCTATTCTTCTGAGGGTTTTTATCATGAGTGAGTGTTAAGTTTTGTCAAATGCTTTTTTGTTGTCAATTAGAAGGATCATGTCAATCTTCTTTAGCTTGTTAGTATAGTGGATTTTATTGATTTGCTTTTAAATATTGAACTAACCATGTACTCATGGAATAAACCCCACTTGATCATGGCATATAATTCTTTTTATATATTGCTGAATTTTATTTGATAATATATTGTTACGAATTTTTGCATTGATACTCATGAGGGTATTGGTCCATGGTTCTCTATTTACCTGGTTTTGGCATCATGGTAATCTCTCCTTTTTTATTTCTGAAAGAGAATATGTAGAACTGGTGCTAACTCTTCTTTAAAAATTGATGGAAATTTCCAGTAGAACCACCTGGACCTGGAGATTTCTTTGGAGGGGGTGTCAAAATTATTATTTCAATTACCTTAATAGCTATAAGGCTATTCAAATTAATTTTATATTGAATGAGTTATGGTGGTTTGTGTTTTTTGAGGAGTTGGTCCATTTTATCTTAGTTGTAAAAATTATTTATGTAGATTTATTCATCCTGGTTCCTTATTATCCCTTTGATGTAAGCATGGTCTGTAGTGATATACCTTGTTTCATTCTATATATTCTCTTCACTCTTTTTATTTGTGTCTATCTTGCTAGAGACTTGTCAATTTTACTGATCTTTACAAAGAACAAATTCTTTATTAAATTGATTCTTCTCTGTTGTTTTTCTACTTTTAATTTTTTTAGTCTTACCAGTATTATTTTCTTTCTTCTGTTGCTTCAAATTTATTCTGCTCTTCCCTTCTGGGTTTCTTAAATGGGAGCTTAGGTTATCGATTTGAGACATACCTCTTTCATAATATATGTATTTAGTGCCATAAATTTTCTTCTCTCCATAGTTTAAGCTGTGTTCTGTTGGGAGCTGGCCACAGAGGCCCACTGAGCATTAGGGATCAGGGAGGGCCTTGGATCCCAAGACCACTAGGATGCGTTCAGGAGCTGTTGACCCATTTCCTCTCCCTTTTCTTATTTGGCACTTAAGCCAGAAACAACTCTGCTAGTTCAAACATAAAACTCTGAGATCTAAGAGGAACACAGCTAACTTTAGAAAACTCATTGTTCCCTTTTTCCACTAACTGTGGTTTTGGTATTGCTACAACTTACAGTTTAAACTTGGGTCACATTTGAGAAGCCTTATTGCTAGTGACAAGCTCCATATATTAGGATTAAGAATTAGAAATATTTATAGAAGTTAAGATGATATATAGGATTTTAGAGTAGCAATTTTGTTAAGAGATTGTAATCAATTGTTCCAAGAAGTGGCCTACTGTGAACTTTGGGCCACATTCTGGAGAGCCCAGCGTAATCTTTGGATGGGGCCACATTCCTTAGGAACTAGTTTTGGCTATAATTAAGAGTTTTTATAGCAATTGTGTAAGTTAGGATTAGTTAAAATTAGCATAGAATAAGAAAAGTTATTAGGACAAATTAGTCATTAATAAAGGTATTGTGTGTGTGTTAGGGGTTTATAGGTTATTGATTATTAGAAACATTGTGGTGTTGGGAAAGATTGCTATGCTGCTTTTGAGGAACATCAACCAAGCATAAGGAACAGAAAGACAATTTGGGGTTTGTTCTTCCTCATACCTGAAAGAACGTCTGGTGGGTAGGGGACACCCCTCATCCACCTGGTTTTGTGTTCACGTGAAAGACATGTGAGTCTGACTGTGCAGAATTTGGGGATAAAAGACCTACTGTTTCCCCCATTAAATGGTTTCTGCTCAATTCTTTGAACTGTTGTCCAGTCTCTTTCTTTTTCCTGATATCTATCCCTCCAGTTTGATCACCGACACCGTCACACCTGTCAGAGACCCCCGATCCCCACAGGGGCAGGACCCCCGCAGTGTTCCACAAATCTTGGTATTTTGTATTTCCATTTTAATTCAACTCAATTTAGTTCTTTATTACACTTGCAACTTCCTCATGGATTGCTTAGAAATGTGTTGTTTAGTTTTTAAGTATCTAGAGATTTTCTTCTTTTAAACTTTTTGTTATTGATTTCTAGTTTGAGTTCATTGTGGCCAGAGAACACATTCTGAATGATTTCAATTATTTCAAATTTGTTGAAGTTTGTTTTATGGTCCAGGATATGATCTATCTTGGCATATATTCTGTGGACACTTGAAAATAATATTTGTTCTGCTGTTATTGAAGAGAATGTTACATAAATATCAAGTAGATCCTGTTGGTTACTGCTGTTATAAAGTACTCCTATATCTTTACTGATGTACTCTCTAGTCATTCTATCAATTTTTGAGAGAGCGGTTTTGAAATCTCTAACTTAATTGTATATTTGTCTATGCCTCCTTTCAATTTTATCAGTTTTTTCTTCACATATTTTGCACTTTAGTTACATAATAAACATGTATTTAGAAGTGTTTCTTCTTGATGGTTTCATTCCTTTATGTTATGTAATTTTGTTGTCTCTTGTAATTTTCTTTGCTCTGAAATCCACTTTATATGGAATTTATATAACTAATTCTCTTTATTTTCATTAATGTTTGCCTAATATGTTTTTCATTTTTTTACTTTCAGCCTGCCTAAATCATTATATTTGAATATTTGAAGTGAGTTTGTTGTGGATATAATACAGCTATATAATGCTTATTTTGAATCTACTCTGCCAGTCTCTGTGTTTTAATTGATGTAGTTAGACCATTTATATTTAATGTATATATTGATCTCTCCAGACTTAACTCTAACATTTTATTTTGTGTTTATATTTGTTCTCTCTGGTTTCTTTTTCTTGACTTTCTGAGTTACTTGAAGATTTGACTTATCTATAGTGTTTTTTATTATATATCTTTGTATAGCTTTTTCAGAGGTTGCTCTAGGTATTACATTATATATGCATAGCTTACTACATTCTACTGTTTTATCATTTACCAGATCAAGTGAAATGTAGAAAGCTTACCTCCATTAAAGAAATCCACCAAAATAGAAACTGTGATTACCCACTGACCATTTTGTGTTCCTCATGCAGTAGACCAACAAGAAATAATAGGAGTCACTTTTCTGAGATAATTGATATTGATCACCATGAATATTTATGGCTTATACTACACAATTGGAGTAGGAAATAATATGTTTTAAGCCTAAATCATTCACTTGGATATGTCATGAATTTTCATATTATTTCCATGAGCAATAATAAGCACTAATGAATATTTCAGTCACCATAGCATGAAAATAGCAGAATAACTAAGAACTTAGATTTTTAATGGGTGAAGTTCTAAGTCATTCTACCAGGCATCAACACACACCTGCCAAAGTGAAAGCCTAGATGAGAGAACTCTAGAATGGTACTAGAGAGTGGATATAATGATCTTCAATTATAGCATGGGAACAACCTATAGCAGTAGGACTTATCATGTTTCACTACACTTTTACTAAATCTTTTCAGCTTATGACCAGCAACTACCTTACAGGGAATTCTGAATTATGAGACATATACCCATACTATTTGGAAAGTAGTGAGGCTGAACTCATTTTAAGAATGATAACAGCCAGGCTCGGTGGCTCAGCCTGTAATCCCATGCCTTTGGGAGGCTGAGGTGAGTGGATTGCCTGAGCCCATGGGTTCGAGACCCCCCTGGGCAGCGAGACCTCATCTCTACAATAAATCAAAATATCAGCCAGGCGTGGTAGCGCATGCCTGTAATTCCAGCTACTCGTAAGGCTGAGGCGGAAGGATCACTGGAGCCCAGCAGGCAAGGCTGTGGTGGCCGGGAGCGGCCACTGCACTCCAGTCTGGGCAACTGAGTGAGACTCCAACTCAAAAAAAAAAAAAAGAATGATAACAAAGGGAGGTCCCATATTATAGGATGGAGATAGAAAAATGGGAAACTACAAATGGATCTGAATGACATAAGGCATGGCTTGCAATGCATACAAACCTTGTACATCAACTCAGCTTCTCTGGACTGTCTCCTTTTACTGAAGGCTTCACCTGTCTCCTGGACCAAATCACTACCACTGACTGCCTCACCCCTGTCAGGGGAGGGGAGTTGTTATTCAGCACAAGGAAGCAAAAACTGTGAGCATTCCACCACCATCTTTGCCAAACTTCCCAAGATGAATGGAATCCCAGTTGAAGGCCCAGACCTACATGGGGTATAAGCAGATATACATGCAACACTCATAATCAGTCATGCCTTATGCAGATAAGGAAGAAAGTTAGAGAATAGCTACACACTAGTTGCTACAGTATTTAACTTAAATCTATTTATTATATCTTCTTATTACAAGTTATTCATACTTTTACCTAAAAGAATGTAGATCATTCCTGTATTATTGAGAGCTTTGTTTTAATAGCTGCAGATAATTTTATTAATAACCTTGAGGCAATAAGTATTTATATAGTTTTTTAGGACAAAGTATACTTGTTCACTTAAAGTTGCAACTCTTTGCTATCTAATGTTGATCTTACTTGCTAATATTACTCTCATTAACCCACTTTCCATGACCTCACTGATCAAGTTTTGATAAACTAGTATAAAAAGCTGCAGAGACTTTTAAGATTAGGAATATTGCAAAAGTTATTCCTCTTTGTGAAAAATTATTAAGTAAAATAAATGAGTAAATCAGTAACCCTTAACAGATTAAAACACAAAGCAAAATCTTGATTTTCCTCCACAGTACCAAACTCATGGTGGGGAGTCGGGGAGGTGATAAGGCATGTGTGGGATTCAAAAATAAGACATTGAAGGTATAGATTTCTGTCAAGCCCCTCACCGGAGGAGATGGAAGCCACCTTCAGTTTCTCTGCAAAAGTCACTGGCCCCATGATAATGAAACTTTACCTCTGAGCAGTCTGACCAGTGCCCCCTTCATGTCCTTGTTCCGCAAGCTATAAATGAAGGGGTTCAGCAGGGGAGTCACCACTGTGTACATGACAGCAGCTGCTGTATCTTCCTCTACTAAGTTGGAGGAAGAGGATGAGGGACACAGATAAGCCCTGATCACTGTCCCAAAGAACAGGGCAACAACAGCAAGGTGGGAACCACAGGTAGAAAAGGACTTGCACCTTCCTTGGGCAGAGCGGACCCTGAGGATGGCTGAAACAATGTAGATATAGGAGACCAGGATGAGCATAAAAGGGATTAAAATGACTGCTCCCCCTAAGAAGAGGAGCACAAGCTCATTGACCTGGGTATCAGAGCAAGACACCTTCATCAGGGGTCCCAGATCACAGAAGAAGTCTGGAATGATCTTCTTAGAGCAGAAGGAAAGCCGGAATATGAGGAAGGTGTGTGTCATAGCAACAAGGCTTGTAAGGATCCAGCAGGCAGTCACCATGAGGGAGCAGCGCTGGAAACTCATGATCATCATATAGCGGAGTGGGTGGCAAATAGCCACGTAGCGATCATAGGCCATTGTGGCCAGGAGAAAGATGTCTATGTCCCCAAAAGTCAAAAAGAAGTAGAGCTGAGTAAGGCATCCTGCATAGGAGATGGACCTACTCTGGGTCTGGATGTTCACCAGGGCCTTGGGCACAGTGGTAGAGGTGAAAAGGATGTCTGCACATGAGAGGCTGGCAAGGAAGAAGTACATAGGGGTGTGGAGATGTGTGTCAGTGACAATGGCCAGGACAATAAGCAGGTTCCCAGCCACAGTGACCAAATACATCCATAAGAACAACAGAAAGAGAATGTGCTGCTGCTCTGTCTGGTCTGATAGTCCCCAGAGGAGGAACTCAAAGATGCTGGTCTGATTTCCTTTTTCCATGAGCCCAATAGATCAGAGAAAAAGATCTTGAGTGAGCCCCATTAAAATTCTGCAAAAATATTTCGCTTTAGATGATTCATGAGCGTGCCATTCTCTGAACTCTGGAGAGGAAGAGAGAAAAACAATGCATTTGAATTGACTACTCACTATGTCACTATGTGCATTGGAACTTTTTATTGAAACCTACTAAATGCACTATGCTAGAAAGAGACACAATTTAAGATAATTAAAATAGAGTTCTTGTTTGATATGATTTTGCACCCCAACTTTCTTTAGCCATACTTTCTTTTTCTTTAGCTGTACTCTTAGGGGATTCAAGATGCTTTCATTAATTCATTCTATTGATATTGAGCATCATCTCTGGATCTGTTGCAGTGCTAGGTAAATAAGACAGTGATCATCCTTAATCTCAGATAATTTTCAGTCTAATGGAATGGATGTAACTATCTCTATTAAAATTGTATAAGATTTTGATTCAGAGCTCCCCATGCATTCAACAGCCTCTAAACTACTCTCAGACCCCAGACTATATCTATTCTAATCCATTATGCTCAAAATTCAATTTTCTGAACACACAATTTCATATTATCCATTATTCCAGAAACCAATTCAACAATAAAACAATTATTTAGATCAACTATGTACAGATTACTTTTCAAGTGACAGTGAAACAGCAAAGAAGAAATAATCTCTAATCTCCAGAATCTCAAAAACTGGTCGGTGTACACACACACACAGAGAGAGAGAGAGAGAGAGAATTTCTGACACAAGCAGTCTGAAGCAGAATAAGGAGGTTTTCTGGGCCTTATATGTAGCTCAATATTTCACCAGATGAATGTGGACAGCACATTGAGGCAAACTCTTGAACACAGGCCAGCAGGTAGAAGCCCTGGAGAGGTTCAGTGATAGGAAGCCGGGCTTAAACAATGAGGTAGAGGAGGGAAAGTAGACTGAGATCATGTGGGAAAGGAAGCTGAGAGTCAACTTTGAGAAAGTTTCTAAAGGGATTTGGAACTTTGTATGTTCTAAGACGCTAAGAAGCCACTAACACTATTTGGGCTGGTAGTAATGTCAGCTCTTAAATAAGTTCAGTGCATGAAAGTTCTGTTCCCTGCCCATGTGTGGAACCAACTGAGGATTAGACATGGAGTTGTTTCAGTCAGATGGAGACCAAAAAAATTACCTTTGTTACTAAAAAAGACTGGGTTGAAAAATATGTCTTAACCATTTTCTAAGTAAGCCTTTTCACGCTCTTCTGAAATTTAAAAAATTTTCCCTTTCACAGGCTCAGCTGGACAATCACAGCCCAATTCCACAAAGGAAGAGTCTTCTATAGAAAGTAAACTTGGAAGAGCAGAGCAGGATGGGTGTTTATGAAAGAGATCAGATTTCTGAAAAGAGGGGAGAAACTAAGGTCCAAAATTCAGCAATCTGATAAGTCACTCCGGGGTAGGATTGAAGAAAGTAGTACAAAGAGCCAGGGCTGTTCGTCTGATGGAAGAAGACTTCATATGGGAAGAAACATCAGCAGTCGGGAATAAATGTCCCCTGAGTGAGGCAATTGTATATAGGCATTTCTTTCTATCTCTGCCTGGTAAAATTCCACATATTTCCATACAAATGTCACCTAGTACATAAAATTTCTATCCATGTCTATCTTATTTCTTATGGTATGGGCCCTTACAGCTTTGATCAGAAATTGGTTGCCAGTTCCAAATTCCATATGGGTGTCTCCTGTGTTTTCTAAGATTCTTATAGTTTGAGGTTTTACATTTAGGTCTTTGATCCATCTACAGTTAATTTTTGTGTATGGTGATAGGTAGGGGTGCTGTTTCGATCTTCTGCATGTGGTCAGCCAGTTTTCCCAGTCCCATTTACTGAATAGGTTCTCCTCTCCCTAAGTGGCTGTTGTTGGAGGCTTTATCAAAGATGAATTGGTTGAGAAATTGATACTTTGCTTCTGGAATCTCTATCCTGTTCCTCTGGTCTATCTATAGGCCTATTCTTGTACCAATACCAGGCTGTTTTGATTACTGTATCCTTATAGTAAAGTTTGAAGTCTGGAAGTGTGATACCTCCTGCTTCATTTCTTTTGCTAAGGATTATTTTGGCTATTCGTGGTCATTTATGCTTCCATATGAATTTCTGTATTGTCATTTCCAGGTGTGAGAAAAATGTTGTTGGTAATTAAATGGGCATTGCATTGAATCTGTAGATTCCCTTTGGTAGGATGGACATTTTAGCAATGTTGATCCTTCCTATCCATGAGCATGGAATATTTTTCCATTTGTTTGTGTATTCTTCGATTTCTTTGAGCAGTGTTTTGTAGTTCTCATTGTAAAGGCCTTTCACTTCTCTGGCTAGGAAGATGCCAAGGTATTTCATTTTTTTGTGACTATTATGAATATGATTGTGCTTTTTATTTGGGCCTCTGCCTGCTTCTTGTTGGTGTATAGGAATGCAACTGTCTTTTGTACATTTATTTTGTACCCTGAGACTTTGCCAAAGTCCTTTATCAGAGCAGGCAAGTTTTTGACAGATTCACTTGGATTTTCAAGGTATGGGATCATATCATCAGCAATGAGGGATAACTTGACTTCCTCTTTTCCTATTTGCATACCCCTGATTTCCTTCTCTTGTCTAATTGCCCTAGCCAGGACTTCCAACACAATGTTGAACAAGAGGGGTGAGAGTGAACAGCCTTGTCTTGTTCCAGTTTTCAGGGAAAATGCTTCCAGTTTCTGTCCATTTAACAATGTTAGCTATGAGTTTATCATAGATGGCACTTACTATTTTGAGGTATGTTCCTTCTATGCCTAGGTGTTTGAGGGTTTTTATCAAGAAGCAATGTTGGGTTTTTCTAAAGCTTTTTCTGCATCTAATGATATAATCATGTGGTTCTTGTTTTTACATCTATTGATGTATTTAATTACATTTATGGTCTTGTGAATGTTGAACCAGTCCTGTGTCCTGGGGATGAAGCTTACTTGGTCATGGTAGATATTTCTGAGATGTGTTTTTTGGATCTGATTTGCTAGAATCTTGTTGAGAATTTTTGCATCTATGTTCATAAGGGATATTGGCCTGTAGTTCTCTTTTTTGGTTGAATCTTTACCCAATTTGGGTATCAGTGTGATATTAGCTTCATAAAATGATTTGGGGAGAATTTCATCTTTCTCCATTGCCTGGAATTATTTCAATAGAATTGGTATCATCTTCTCCTTGTACATTTTGTAGAATTCTGCTGGAAAGCCATCTGGTTCAGTTGCTTTATAAATGCTGGTGCTCCTACGTTGGGTGCATCTTTGTTTAGGATGGATATTTCTTGTTGATGGGTTAAGTCTTTTATCATTATGTAGTGTCCTTTTGTATCTTTTTAAACTTTTGATAGCTTAAAGGTTGTTTTGTCTGATATTAAGATCACAACTTCTGCCTTCTTTTGTGATCCATTTGCCTGGAAACTTGTTTTCCATCCTTTAACTTTGAGTCTGTGTGCATCCCTTGTGGTGAGATGGTTTTTTTTCCAGTTTGCCATTCTGTGACTTTTCAGTGGTGCATTTAGTCTATTCACATTCAAGCTGATTATTAAAATGTGATTTTTCAATAATCACATTTTTTTATCCCTGTCATGAGTTTTATAAAGTTTTTTTGTTTGTTTTCTTTTGGCTTTGGAGTTGATGCATGTGTGTATTTTCAAGTTTGTTGTTGCACTATATTCTCTGTCAATTCTGTGCTCTATTGTTCACTTGGGAAGTGTGTGATCATTCTTCTTTTTCCTTTCTTCTGTGCTTACTACCTTTTTAAGTGTCTCCTGTAGAGCTGGTCTGGAAGCAACATGATCTCTTAGGAATTGGATGTCTAGAAAGGATTTTAATTCTCCATCACTGATGAAGCTGAGCTTGGCTGAGTAGGAAATTCTTGGTTGAAATTGGTTATCTTTGAGTACTTTGAATATTAGACTCCAGTTCCTTCTTGCTTGTAGTGTTTCTTGCAATAGGTCTGCTGGTAGGTGAATTACTATGTGCCTAGGGGTTGGTCTTCTCATTTGATGTCTCGGGGGGGGCAGAGTTCTCTGTATCTCATGTGTTTGGCTAGTCACATCTGTGGTGAGATGGGAAAAATATTTTTGGATTACCTCCTGGAATACTTGCTGCAAGGTATTCTCCATTTTCCTTTCTTCTTCTGGGATACTAATCAGCTGTAGTTTTGGCCTCTTAATATAATCGCACATCTCTTGTAGGCTTTGTTCTTTCTTTCTGAGTCTTCTTTCTATGTTTTTTACAGATTGGGTTAATTCCACATTCTGTCTTCAAGTTCTGAGATGCTTTCTTCAACTGGATTAATTCTGCTTCCCATCTTTGTCATCTTGTTATTTATTTCCTGGATGAAATTTTTTATTGCCAAAATCTCTGTTACAAGTTCTTTCAGTGTTTCATCTTGTCTTTCTTGAGGCTTATTCAATTTTTTCATCCACACCCTAATATCTGTCATATTCTGGGGCCAGTCCTTGATGACTCCCATTGTTTGGGCTCTGAGATCTGATTTTTCAGGAGTTTTCTCTTTGTTACACTTGAAATTGCCTGTGGTCTTCCTTTGGCTTTTTCTCATTTGTGACAGATCTCTTGCTTTTCTCTTTAGTTCTGTTATTCAGTGTCAGTGGGAGAGGCTTTCCCTTCTGATATTTGCTCAGCCCTCTATTCTTCTCTGATCCAGGTTCTGGATTTGTTCTATTTTGAAACAGGACTGTGGGTGGGAAGCTTTTCTGCCTCATGTAATTTTGAAAGTCAAATAAGGTAGAGGATGTGGAGCTAGGATTCAGAAGCTACGTGAAAATTGCAATATTCACTGATTATGTGTTTCCTGTGATCCACTCACCACCACCACTCTATATGACAATGCAATGTGTACATGTGAATACCCTCTAAGTCTGAGATACAGTGACAGCAATGAGGAGCACAGAGAATAATAGAATGAAATAAAATGGACAATAATTAAAAGGG